TATTAAATTGGTTGAAGCCATCTTGAAAGAGATTATGTTTGCAAATAATGGCTTTGAATTTAAAGTATATTATGCATTTTAATGAGAAAAATTGCCTTTAATCTTTGACTATTTTTTGGCTGTTCATTTCCCTTTAATTTTCAAAATATAACATAGTTCCTATAATTTATTCCCATTTTTGAATACTGGTTGTGTCTTAACGGCAGTGATCACTGTTCTGAGGTAAGCCGACATCTGAATTCCTTGGCTATCCATTTACACACCACTACAGAACATACAGTCCTGGTAGGACAAAAGCTAAAATAATTCCTGGTAATTTCGGATCAAGTCTTGACTGTCACACAAAACAGACTAAATATATTTTCCCACCATAGCAGAACAATTTAATACAATGTTGCAGATAAAATGTTCTCTTTTTTTTTTATATTTTCAGCGCATCATCTTAAATTAGAAAATACGTGACTAAACTACATAAAAAGAACTATACACTTTAGATAAAGTAGCCACTGTGTCCAATATGGCTCTAACTTTTCCCACATAGAGTTTTTTAGAGTTATTTCAACAACTTATATGTGGAAAAATTTTAACAGTTTTTGCATTTATCACATTAACTCAACTAGTTCAACCTTACTTCAACTCTTTAGAATATGAAAAGCAGAGCATAATCACATATAGGCATTTGCTAAATGTGGGCCAAGATTTTGATAATAAATCACACAAAACAAAAACAGAGAGTGAAAGATAAAGTTAAAGTAGAATAGGTCCAATTAGTTTCCATTCCTTGATGTTCAATAAGATACGTGATCTTGCAACCTCTGTGGTCATAATTTGAATATGGACAGGTGACTATCCTGGGCCTCCATTAACAAATAACTTTAACTTAAAACAAACTATTAAATAACACTTATGTATTGCTTTTTAGAAGAAATGTGTGTTTTTTGAAAGTCTGGAGGATATGTGTTGTTTATTTGGTTGTACCCATTCAGGGATGGTAAAAATATGGTAGGACAATTATTTTTAAAGCTGATGGATCAGTCAGAGCCTGGAAATCCACCTCTCATGCCACCGTTGACAAAAGGTGTAGCTCCAAACGGAACTGATTCATCTTTGAAAACCAGAGTATTCTTGTAATGCAAATAGTTCTTACCTCTAAGTTGCTATATTAGCAACATGTCCTCTGATTCAATTGTTTTTCTCTATTTTAATTATTCCAATTAACAAGTATTTATCACCAGACATTTTTCCATGGCAACTATGCTAAAATAACCATGCAGTAAAACACACTGTATTCAAGGAAATGACCTGGTCTGTGCACTTGTTAAAAAAAAAAACCCCAAAATCAAAAGTTTCTGAATTGGAAAATTATCTGGTCCAAATTTCTCCATATAAATTGTTGAATAATTTGAAAGTTGAATATTGGAGCTTCTAAATACTATCGCATTTTTAGGCTAATCAACACAGTTGGCCATGAAGATTTATCAGACTATAATACAGATTTATCAAATTATACCTTAACAGTACAAAACATTAGGATGCTCAATTTTAAAAGAATAATTTACCCAAAAACCTTCTTCACTTGTAAAAAAGATTCCACTTTCCCTTAGGGGCATATGACCAAGGTGTAATATAGTATGTTCAATGAGAAATATTTTTTAAATGCCTTCAGAGCAATTCAAGATATTAAGACTGATAATGTTATGATTCAATCATTATAGAATTGCAAGGATAGAAAGAATTTTATTGAACCATCAGGAACATCTTGCAAATTAATGTTAGAATGACACCTAAAATGTTCCAGAATGTTGTAGGAATGCTGGATTCACCAGTTTCGTCCCAGAGGGAGACAAAACTGCTTTACCTTAGGATATATTTTGTGAAATAATACTCAGGTCAGTGTTACAGCTAACTTATTCTGACAGACACATCAAGAAGAAAAGCAGCTAATAATGGCATTTGCAATAACATGAGCTATACTGAGGTTTCAAGAATTTTCTAAGATTCAGAATCCAGAGTAAATATGTCCTCCTTATAGAAGGTGCTTGGGCTATGAATTAAGTCTTCTTTTCAGGACAGCAAGGCTCATATTATCTTACCATTAGAAGATCACGCTGAGATTTGCTTTCATGGGGAAGAGGTATATGTAATAAAAACTTTTTGCTAACAGTGGGCAAAGTATCACCCTCACACACAAAGCAACACAAGTTCCTGCAAGAAGCCACGAGGTAATATCCATAGGAACAATAGTCTGTGTTAAAACAAAGTGTGCCTGAGGCCAAAACGTGACCTGTGCAACCTCACAGGAGACTGTGACGGAAACAATGCTAAACAGTGCTATCAGTTTGACTTAGAATTCAACCGCAGATTTAAAGCTTGCAGTGAATGTTTATTCTTGCTTTGTATTTCTCAAGTTACAGCATTATGGGTATGTGTGTATGTGTGTGTGTGTGTGTATGTATCTATATACATATGAATTTTAATACAGTTTTCCTAGTTACTTCTCTCATGATTACTTTCCTAATTGATACCCTGGTATCCAAGTGGTTGGGTTGGCCTACATTCTACTGCATGACACCGGAAAATGGACTAAGGAAAACCTTTGCGACTTGAAAGTACAAGGTTCCTCTAAAAGTGCTCATTACAGTGACTGAGACTCACCTTACCACTATCTCCTTGCTTGTTTCCTTCATAGAACTTTTCACATTATATTACCTTGTTTATTTGTACCTTATTTGTGGTCTGCATTTCCCTGCCCGCCCTGAAGCTCCATGAGAGTCACGGCCTTCTCTATCTCTGGTTCACAACTGTGTACCTAAAATAGTAAAGCAGTGCCTGACATAAGGAGGTACTTGTTACCTTCTATTAAATATATGAGCAAAGGAATGCATTCAAATATTTTTAAAAAATTATAACAGGTGATTTACTGAACCTCTCCGAAACAAAGCTTTCTTATCTATAAAACTGGGAGTAACTAAATTTAATCCAAAAGAGAGCTGAGATTATAATTAAAGAGGTAACATAAATTAAGTATCTTAATTCAGTGTAGAATAAATAATATATATATATACTTAACCCATTTAGCTCATTTGCTATCTTTGAACAGTAGACCATCATGTAAAATTATTATCCAGAACTCAGATAATTTACCTAACCCAGATAATTTCATGTGTACTTTGAATTACATAATGACTACCATTTATTAATGTTTGACAGTTTGCTGCCTCTATTCCTAATCTTTTTATTTCAGTACATTTCAGTATGTAACATCTATATACTTCCACATTAGAGTAAAAGTAAATCCTACATAATACATATTTAAACCCTTTAAAACTGTAAAGGATATTAAGGTAACAATGATGCATTTGAAAATATTTTATATTTAACCACCTTACTTTACAATTCAGGAAGCTGAGGCCTAATGTTGAGTTGAAAGACCTTGAGATCATCACATTGCTAAAAAAGAACAGATATACTGTAATTAATCAATCATTCCAGAGCTCTTTAAATTATGAATAGTCATACCACTCTTCTTGGAGAGATTGAACTTGGTTCTAGAATCATTCTGAACACAATGTTGCACATTGATGGCCCTTTTCAAGTGGACAGAGTCGGCATGCAAGGTAAGATGCACGTGTCATCAAAATGAAGTTCAAACCTCTTACCTAGATTAGGTTTATGCACATCATTCAGTGACATTCAAAGCAACAGAAGAATTAGAATTTCATTCTTTGACTTGTAGTTGGTTTAACAATGCCCCTTTTAAAAAATCAAATCCATTTACTCATAAGAATGGTTATGTTTCAATATGGATACTGGGTCATATTTATTAAAATAATAATTTATATACACAAAAGATGTAATAGAAAAGGAAATTTATATTAGTTCTCTCAATATTTAACTTTGAAATTTCAATTATAGTTAAAGAATTTAAATTTTTTATATTAGTGCCCTGCTTTGAAGCTATAACTTATTCTTATTAAGTTTATTTTTTCTGGATTTCCACACCATCTTTAAACAGTGACTTCTTATAATGTGCCATGCATTCAAAATATACTGGGATGTCATTAAGTCAACTATAAATTCAAAATGATCTTTCACATCTAACTGGGTAATGAGATTGGCCCAATGAAACAATGTATTATATCTTTCTGGAATTTTGACTATGTCTTTGTCTTGGGCTTTACATTTCCCTAATTAATTTTGAAAACGAAAGATTTCTTTAGTGACATGCCAGTGCTCTCAAAACATTAATACAGTATGGCACTGGAATTACTGGCTTAATGAGCATCTCATGCTTCTACTCCCTAAGGACCCCGCTTAATAAAAGGAAAGGGTTTACTAAAACCCAGGCATTACAATGATTGTATGTGGTCTGAGAATCTGCTGAAAATACATATGGAAATGCCTGGTTGCTTACTAAATTTTGTTGGAGATTAAATAAAGTCATAGAATACATATGATTCCCCAAACTAAAAGCAGTCATTTATTTTTAGTTAGAATTAAAGGTTTTGTGAGAAGTGTAAAAGATTCTTTTTTTTTTTTCCCGTAATATCTGGACCAGTGTATAGAGATACTTAAGCAGCAAAGAAAAAAGCAAATAGTGACTTAAAAAAACTTTCAATGGAAATTGTTGCTTTTTTGGAAACTATGAGGCATAATGTCATTCTTAAAGCATGTAAGGTATTTGACTGGGATATAACTCTAAAAAGTAATAAAGTCCAGATTACTGTCTTGAACTGTGCTGGTTCTTGGTATTTTGAATGTAACAAGGAACTGAAGAAACACGACATCAAGTAACTAAATGCCAATTAATATGTGTTTATATTCATTACTGCACGTGTATGTGTATTTGTGTGTGGCGATATATGTCTGTGTAGGGGTGTGTGTTTGAGCAAAATAGCAATCTGTTTTGTCTTATCCCTAAAGCAGAATCATAGAGGTTCCAGAGTGGATAAACTATTAGCTAATCATCTCGTAAAATATAGCAACCATGACTTTCAAATCAATGCCATTTCTTGAATTTCATTAGTCATATGTTTAAGAGGAACAGTATAAGTTTTTCGTAAGAGATGCATCTTTATCAAGTATAAATATACACATTAAACTGCATTTTTAAAAGCGTGTATCTTAACAGAGTTGGTATTTAAAACACATAATTGAGAGGCTCTCCATTCACTACTAAAATCATATCCCTCCTTTTCGAACTAGTTTTCTCAAAGAATGAAATAATAGCATATACCTTTTCATCCTCTTTGATTTGACTATCACATTTAATCATGGTTACACAGTAGCACCAAAATGAGGACAAAATACAAGAATTACAGGAAAGATCTTAAATTATAGGAGCTAATTGCATGCTTCAAAGGTCTCATCTGTGGGGAAAAAAACATTTCCAACTGCCAAACTACGGCTTTTTTTTCCCCAAAAGAAAAATAACCCAAATCACCCCAAATTAACCAAAAGATACAACAGACTGCTTTGGGGATAGATCTGTTATCTACAGTTTATGGGACAGATAGTCCATCTAAATAGAAAAAGACTGGTTTTACATAAAGCAAGATAGAGTACAAAAGCACAGCTTTTGTCATTTTGGTAATATTGCAATTTTACAAACATATTGCATAGTATGTGTAAGAAAATAGTTTCATTTTTTTCATATATCTCTATATACAAGAAAACATTTACATGAAAGTTACAAAACAAAATAAACGAGTAGTGGACCTGGTTTAAAGAATTGTATAAATAACGAGACACGCTAACTTGAAATTACATTACCTCCATTGTTCATGAATGTCCTTGCACAGCTTTAACCCTGTTTGGCTTTTATTTATCAATATTCAAACAAATGAGATACCGAGATGGCAAAAAACAAAAGAGTAGCAGTTCATTATACCTCATTTCCTTTAATGTATTTCCTTGACTTTCTCAAAGAGAGGAACTTTCTCAATCAGTACTTAAAAAATAGCCCTCTGTTTCTAGAAGTATCTTAGGTTAATGATATTCTCCCAAGAATTTTTAGCAAGCAATGAAAGTTTAAACCTAGTTGAGTAAGTCCATCCTGGGCCCATTTTGGGATATAGTCTTTATATACTGGTTTCATGAATGTCAAGGAGTTTATTTGGCATGTATAAAAGGTGAGTGGCCTACACTAACAAAATTTTCCTTCTAAAACCAATTAATTAATGATCTACAGCTCAGAATCCTGCATGCAGGATGTTTACTGCCTCATGTTATAATTATTCAGCCCTCCTATTTGTTTGAATAAATGAGGAGAAGCAGCGGTATTGTAGAGTTAAATACAATAAAAATCCCAGTCTTTGGTCTTTGACATTTAAATTAAATGAACTGCAGTATGAAACAATATGAATAACAGTGTTCAATGAAATCATTCATTTACGATTGTTTTAAAAGAATAACAATATTATTTTACTTTGTGATAATGATATTTTGCAGTATTCATTACTATAATATACACCAGTACAAAGAGAAAAGAATTTCTCCAGGTGTCTTTAAATAGGGTCACATGAGGAATTCTAACTAGACCAAAGCTACAAGGAAGTGACAAACCCCACTCCTATGAAACTCAAATGTGAATTTAGCTTTGATGGCTATACAGAGAATTTGTCCATTAGATATCTTCAACTATTTTTATACTTTAACATTATGATATTGACGTTGTTACAAAATAGAGCACTTAAATGCATTAAACACTCTCCTGCTCTCTATCTATTGCTGCCTCAAACAGCAATACCAAGTTTGGAATGACACAGTTTTGTAGGAGTTATACTGTATCAAAATGCAAGTTTTATAAAATGAGGCACTGTCCAATTGAGTAATTTGGATAGCAGAATATGTAGGAATTTTGAATGGAAACTGTTATAAAAAATTCAGCTATTGGCCTTTGTGATCAAATGACCTTTTCTTCAAAAGACCAGTGCTTTTTAGTTTGATGGAGATAAGTAATAGAATGAGAAGCAGAGACTTAATATTTGGTAAATATTTCTATTAATTTCCTCAATAGTCCCTTTTAGTAAGACCCAAATACATTCTTTTCCTTTTTATTGTCAACCATATTACTAGAGCCTGTTTATGAAGTGTGATTTCCTGAAAGGGACATTAATGTTCAATGGTAAGAGCAAGAAAGGAGGTATAGAAAAAGGAGCAGGGGGCAGGATGCTGGAAAGATCTGCATTTCAACACTTAGAAGCAACAGGTTAAGGTAAAGGAGATCAATAATGTTGGTTCAGACTAGGCTACAGAACTCAAGACTGTTCTTTTCTTAAGTGAATTAGCAAAATTTAAAGATGAAAGTAACCAATGAAAACCTCTAGCTCTGATGTAACCCTCTCACAGGTAAGTGAACTGTGACCAAGATAATTAAATATATTCCTTAGGGTCACATACAGGTGGGGATGGAACTAGAACCGGAACTCCCGGCTCCCTTTACAGAGATTTGGGGTATCGAAATCTCAGATCTCCTGGTTAATGTAAAATTTGAAGCATACAAATATCTTAGATGCATAATTATGTACAGATTGTAAAGCTATGGTTTGTATTAAAAAAGGGAAAAAATCAGATGAAGAGGTACATGTTAGAAATTTTGGAGATGTTGAACAAACGAAGTTTTTTTTTAGGTGTCTTCCTGAAATATTCTGAAAGAAAAAGGAATAATGAAGCCTCTTTGCATCTCTCCTTTTGACCTCAAAATACTGAACTCAAATACTTCTCAGATTCTTCATTCTCAGCTAAGAATTTAAATGCCAGGACTACTGTCATTCCCTCCTCCCTTCTAATTCTCCCTGCCGTCTCCTTTCTTTCCTTTGTGCCTTCTCCAGCTAAACTGAATACAAATGTAGGGTCTACATAGCACCCTTTAAAGGAATCATTTTTCTGATTTCGATTTAGGAAAAATGAAATTTGCATCTAAGTAAATTATATTTATATATGTTGTAACAGAAAAATGCTTCTGGAGAAAAACAGATACTAAAACGGTTTGAGTAGTCTGCAATTAAGAGAACTTTGTATTAATAGAGAACTAGTCTTTTATGAGGAAATTAAGCACTTTCAGGAGCAATCTTCTGTGCCTACAATAGAAGCTCGAAATCTGAGGCTGAGTCTGTACTTAAGGTCCTGAGGAACTAAAACAGCCAGTCAAGTAATTTAAACCAACTCTTTAGTGTCGGATCAGAAAGCCATCTGTATCAATATTTTTCCCTACTACACTGAGCAGATATTTTATAGCATCTAATCTAGTCTAAATCTTATAACATAAATATATGTTATGAAGTGTTTCTATAACAATTCAGAATTTGAATTCAAAATTTGACAGCCTCTGTGCTGGAACTAGTTTTTACATGTGTTTGTCTCATCCTTTTTTTTCATCATTTCTCCTCATATATAATTTCAATTTCCGGTGGCCCCTTCCACCTCCGACAATATTTGCTCTTGGAACAAGAACACGGTACAGCTGGAAGGCACCTCAAGAGACCATTCGATTCAATACTCGTGCTGTGAAGGTGAGTGAACCGAAGTCTGGACATATTCCCAGAGCGTCTAAATGAGCTCGCTCGTTAGTGGAAGACAGAGCTGAGATTAGAAAATGGGGCTAATTACTATAACAATAAAAAGAATTGTTCCTGTTTGACGAAGACGATTTTAAATTGTTTTAATATAGGGATGTTTATAATTTGAATATGTCTCAAATTAATACATGTTTTCCTGAAAAGTCCACAAGACAGTGATTAGGACCCATAATTCCTCAGAATTTCTTGTTTTACATTTTGTGTATTTTAATGTGAGTTTTTTTATATTAAATTTTAATGTTTTACTTAAATAAATTGAACTCTTGTGTTATGGCATGCCTTTTTAAGCAACTGCATATCTTAATTCTTACTCCAATGTTGATTTCAAGTTTTACAGAATAATCCCAAGCACAAGTTCTGATTTAAAAGGAATAAAATTGCACCAGCTTTCTGACTTCTCTGCTGAATACAGAATGCATTTAGTGAAATGGAGCTTTTCCAAGTATTCGATATATTAAGTTACCTAAACAAGATAATTCTAGCCATTGGCTCATTTGTTGCTGCGTTACCCAATTTTCCTACTTTCACTAAGCAACTTACTTCAACAAGTTGCAATTTCCCACTTCCCCCTGTGCTATAGGGGTCTGAACACCAAAGGTTCTATGGTCATGGACCCCCAAAATGAAGCCTCCATACACCTTAATGGTGTGCATGGGGGAAAAAGACTGACTGACATGTGAAAATTAAGGACTCACCTTAGTGCAACCAAGTCATCTTCCCATAATAGGAAATATTAAATTGAATTTTACATTCTTGGATTCTGTAAGTTTCAAGAATTCAAGTTAAGGAGCATTGTGATAAATGAACCTACAGTATTCTGCAGTTATTTATTAGGAGCTAATGTACAAAAATAAGCAGTGGGGAATGCAAGGAATGGCGATATCTAATGTTGGAGTAGCTTAACAGTCTAATAAAAGTAACTAAATGTTAAGAGCTGAAAGTAAGTGTGACTAAATTCCTTTAAATAGCAATCTAATGGAGTGAATACATTTTCAGTGTTTGTTAACAGTTGTGTTTTTACTGTTTAAGCAGGGATTTTTTTATTTAATTTCTACCATCCTTAAATCTTAACCTCTAATAAAAATACATAGATATAATTCTGAAGATGATATTCCAATGGAAAGTGAATCCATTCTGAGCATTAGGCATCACATTAGCATTTATTTATTTAGAGGATGTTTGAATTTTAGCAGAGTCAAGTATAAAGTGAGTGGAGCAAACAAAAATTGCACTCTTAGAACCTAGGTGTAAAGGATAGCCTGTGAATTAAAAACAAAAAAATCTATGGATTCCACACCATCCGTATGTCCCTCTTAATCCTATCTTATATTGTAATAAATTAGATGTTTTGTTAAAAGCAAATACGTCACATGCAATAGCCAAGTAAATACTATATAAGGCCATTCAGATCCAACAAATGACAGTATAATGGCGTTTTGTTAATTCTGTAAAGATTATATTGCTGAGTGCTTTCAAAATTATCTAACGTACAAAATTCTAGAGTTAGTAGACAAAGAGTAACAACACATAGAATTTAAAGAAACAAATAAAACTCAGGGTGGGATTCTGTCTTGTTTTGCTTTGTTTTGTTAAAAACTATGTATTGAATTTGATATTTAGTAAAGCAAGCATTACATAATGCTTTAAAATTTTAAAATTCGGGGATAAAAGTTTACATCCAAAAAGATGAATGGAAAATTGTGCTTTCAGACTGTAGAATTAGTTTTCTTACAGGGCTAACCATTTCATCTTGCCATTTGATACTGGGAATTTCATCTATGTAATGTATACATGTGCAGTTCACATCCAGGTCCTGCAAAAACCTAAAACTGTGTGCTTCACTTCACGTAGCAAAGGCACCTATGTTATTCTCCCTTTGAGCAAAAGTTATGATCCAGGTTTCCTGCTGAAGATGTTTCTACCGTTCCGCCACTCACTCTGTGTTGAGCAGGGCAGTGAGTCACCAGAGAAGGGGGCGGCCGTCCCTGCTTACACGGGAAGAAGTTGCTCTATGGACCATTTGAAGAAGCTCCGGACCGATCACAAGGGAAACCGAGCAGAACTGAAGCAGACGGACAGGAACAGAAGGCTATTCTGGTGTGAGGAGGATTCAGTCACTTCAGCTCCATAGGCAGATGGTGCTACTGGACTGACAAGTGGAACCTACTCCTGCTGGAGAAAGGTAAAGTTTACCACTGGGACAGACACACAGTTCGTACACTGTCTGTCGGGAATTTGAGGAACTGGGTGATGAAGATGCAAAAGAGCCGGTCGGTAGATTTCCCAGCCGGATTGTATCCGCATTCAAAAATATCTACCGGGAGAAGAAATTGCATTTTAATTCATTTTAGCATTCTTCATTCCTCAGAGCTTACAACTTGGTCTAATAAGAAAGACCACACCACAAACGATTCCATTGGTTTAGCTGCTATGCTTTGTTGAACAAACTACACTCCCCTGGTATAGCCTGAAAGCTCGGCAGCTCCATTCCCCTTGGAGACCTGGTGTATTTGGACAGAAAGCCCTCCATCTGAGGAGCAACATCTTACAGTCTGCTCCAGGGGCCAACCCAGTTCCTCAAACAGCATGGAAAATTAATGATTTTAGCAGAGTCTCTCAGTTTAACTTCTTAATCATTGCCAGTCTAAAGACAGAGAAAGAAATAAGAATGGTCACGGATTCACTTAAAAAAACACTCTCCAGCCTAAATTTTAAAAATATTCATAAGATGTTGACAGATAGTCTAAAGGATATGCCGTGTAAATAATCTGTACCCCTAACAGTTAATTATATTAAATATAATCAGGTCTGAAGTCTCCATGAAACGAATACCCAGTTTGCTGTATCTTCTAACTTGGAAAACTTCTCTGCTGATTCTACCTCATGGACCTCACACTGTCGGGGACAGGCTCATGTGGTTTTGACAAGCGTGGGTAAAGTTCCAAAGAAAGAAAAATTGGATTGTGAATTTGAATGAGCAAAGAAATAACTCTCTGGCTGTTTCTTCATTTTATTGTTGTGTACCTAATTACTGCCTAAAGGCACCTCTAACCCGACAGGAGACTCAGACAATACTCCGGTTTCTGCAGATTTGCCCTCATCCAAGTCCTATTCATTTCATGCTAGGACCTCTGCAGTAGTTCCTAACTGGCCTCCCAGCCTCATTCTTGACCTCTTATGGTCTAGTTGACATCCTACTACTGTGGACTTTAAAGAAATGCAAATCAAATCATGCCATCTCAGTGCTCAAACCTTTCTAACGGCCTCCCATGACACTTAAAGGTGAATCTTGACTCCTTTCCATGGCCCACAGCCCTATATGATCTGGCTTATCCCTCTAACACCATTTCCTATAATTCTTCTCCTCCAGCTTTTGCATTTTCTCAAATATATAAAAAGAACTTTGGCTTCAGGGCTTCTTTTACTCCCACTTCCTTAGCCTGAAATACTTTTCTCCAGATATTTCCAAGTTGGGGGAATATATTAACTGGGTGGTTAGAGAATAGGGAGACGAGCCAGATTTCCACTGTTGGCCTTTTCATACATTTTTCTGAAACATAGGAATCTACTGCATACTACAAATGAGACGGGAAAAGAATCCATATATCGTAGACATGTATATTTTAGATTTATTCAGACATGAGTGTATTTTGTTCAGATCTCTACTAAAAGATCACCTTCTAACAAAGTACTTCACTAACCACCTTGTTAAAATAACACTAATCCATTAACCTCTTTGAAAAATCTTACTTGTCTCTATAGTAACAATCCCTTCCTAACATTAAGGGTGTATTTTTCATTCATTGTTTCTCGTACTTGCAAGTACAGCCTGTGATGACAGGGCCCGTCTTTGGTTAGAATTGTGCCAGTGCACGCTGGGTGAAATAATACTCTTCCTTCACCTGGGACATGTCTCTCCCCTCCAGGCCACAAAAATGTCACCCTTTAGAGAAGCCTGGCTCGTCTGCTTCCTCCTCCATGGATGGTTCCCTGATGCTCCAAGATGGAGAGACTCTTACTTGGTTCTCCCACTGAAATTTACTATTACTAGTATTTTAGTTTGCTGATCATTTTATATATTATTTTGTAGTCCGATTTATATCTTCCTTTCTCTACTAAATTATGTCCTCCTTGGATGTAGAATCATGCCTGAATTTTTTTACAAATTCACAGTGTTTGTCCCTGAACAGACAGCCTTCATATAATACAAAGAGTGATCAAATAAATAGATTGTAGAGCAAATGAATGATTGGATTAACCAAAGTTAAGAAAGTAAGATTAAAGTTTTTGTTTGTAGATGTCAAGTGTTGGAATTTATTATCCCATAATTATTTCTGGGTTAAGAGACAGGAGAATAAAGAGAAAGGGCTTTCGTTCCAATTTTCTCTGAGATTCTTTTTTCTGAGGTTAAAGTTTAAAATGCACAAAAACTATCACCTTTTGGCCTTTTGGTTAAGATCAAGTACAATATTTGTTCTTATTAGTTTACTATCTGATACATTGTCTATCCCAGGACACTACAGTAAGTGGGTTTTTGGAGGCAGAACATACAATAGGAGCTTGTGCCGTCCATTCCACCCATCAAACTGGTATCCCAGTACCAGCAGGAATAGGGCATAGGGTACCCCCCGGAGGAGGAAAATAACTAAATCAAAGTGCACAAAACTAAGCAAAAGAAAATGACAGTGCATTTTTGGGGCTATATGCTGGTCTTCATTTCTTCCAGCTCTATTTCCATGTGGAGGGACATCAGTGAGTGTAACTCATAATTATCACACACTTTGGGCTCTTTCACTCGCTCCTCCACAGGGGAGGAAGGGTGAGGGCTCCTACCAGTTGAGTGTAAGAGAGGAACTGGGTTTGCAGAGCTCATCCTCCTTTCTTTATGTCTTTTTATGAGCTAGCATGCTTGCAGAGAGCAGACATTCTCAGGCTTCCCAAATGCCAGCTGTATTTCAGGGGCCCACTCTGGGGCTGTGGGGGTTGGGTCTGCACATCTGGATGTGAGTTCACTGTGAAATGTTAGGTTCCAGCCAAGAACCTTTGAAACATAGGTAATAAAGAATGGCAACATGGACAGCTAAGATCACGTAGGCTAGGAGGCTCCTGTGGGACTGATCAGATGACTGTAAGATGTTATGAATGGTTCATTTACCAGTACGTTCAGAAATAAGTGATAAGTGTTACGGCTAGCTCTGGTGACTGGCAGAGGTTTGCTGACACCTTGCCACACTGCTGGTTTTGATATCTGTGGAACTACTTTCTTTCCACTGGTGTGGCCTGAGTGGATAGCTGTGGAGAGTAGGTATTTTTATACAGGTAGGATGTGCGGGTGGAGGCCCTGGGAACCAAGCATAGCTGTGGAGCCCTCAGCGGAGTTACCGCAGAGGACGTAGCCTCATGGCGTGTGGCCTGTTCAGCTTAGCAGAGCCTCTAGCTCTCCTTTTAGGGACTATTCTAGATACCGTTGAGCTGTGTGATAATACTTAACTCCATAAACTGAGATCCAAACTGTAGCCTCATCCATATAAGGGAAGTAGATTTCATGAATAGGTAAATTAAAATGAATGGGGCCTTTAAAAAAAGAACATGATGTTTTCTTGGCTTCAAAGAGAAAAATAAGTCATGAGGTAAAAAGTGGTATTCTATCTATACTGACCCTTTCCAACCCAGCACGGCTCAGATTCTCTAGGTTTCTGCGCATCTCTCTTTTGGTCCTGCCAAGGCAGTTGCTACAATACTGCTCACTTTCCAATCCTAAAACTGATACCTCTGTTGTACACAGTCCTATAAACTATGTAATCCATTTGTTCTGAAACTCTTCCTGGTACTTAGAATTATAACCTTGAGTTTTCAGTCACGGCCCATTGTCTTCTCCCCACCAAGAATTCGTTTATTCTGTTCTTACCTGTTGAAATCAGGCCTGTCGCTGTTGCAGAATATCTTTATCAATTTGCAAAATAAAAATGGTTTCCTCCTTCCTCTGTGAACTTGTACCATATATGTTATTACATTATTGCACTGCATATACTATTATAACACTTTCAAGGTTCTACCTACAGTTATGATGCACGCCTTCTTCAGAGCTGAATTTGAAACCTTTTGCAGCACAATGACTGGATCTTCAGCAGTGCAGAATTTTGTGTGCAATTTCATTCATAACACATTTCGTATGTTATTTTGGTTACCTTAACGTGTCTATTCTAATTTGAAGTAATCAGAAATTGAGCTAAGGGTAGGAGATTACAGCTTGCTATATTGTTTAGTAAATGATCAGTCTGCCTTTTTATAGAATAATTAGTGAAGCACAGACAGAGATTTTCTATCATCTCCCACTTCTTCCTAGGAAAATTACAATCTTTTATCCTAATAAAATTCTATGCTTTTATGTATCTTTATTTTATTAATGTAAGCAAATGACCACACAGGAAAACTTCTGGCTATAATTTATTTATAGCATAATACTCAATTCATAATTTAATGCTAACCTGTAACTGAATCCAAGGATTCTGCTGATATATAGAATAAAAGAACATAAATAAAGTGCATAAATAGGAAGAGAACAGAGATTAATAACCACTAATATTTATTATGGGATGATTCACTATGAATAATTTGAAATTATTAGCATGATAAAAGCAACCCTTTAAAATGGATGGAAGATATTTAAGAAATATTTCTATTTTGCTGTGGAAAACAAATTATAGTAGTCTTTACTTGTGGTAAAAAAGATTTTGAAAGGTAATATTGATAATTTGAAAAGATACTATGAAGCATATTTTCTAGATAATTTAAGTTATAATATCCAGTAAGATGCTCTTATGATCTTTCCAGTAAGCTTGCTTATAAAAAAGAAGCAAATACATAATTAAAACTTATCTTGAGTCAAACAGCTGAGAAAAATAGCATAAAGGTAAGAAAGAAACATGCTCTTTTGATTCTAGGAATTTAGGCCCTCATCTTTACATCTGAAGAGGTATGATGCTCAGAACATTCTCTCAAATGACCCTTTATTCTCACCTTGATCTTTGTAAGCTCATAATAAAAAAATAAATAAGCATAAGAGGGAAGAAGACACTAAGGAACTCAAATGGTAAAACAGCAACACAACAGATTTAGCCTTTCAAGGGCTTTGGATATTGCTGTAAAAATATATAGAATAGGATATGTATCATGTATAGGGATTTGAAATAGTTAAGGTAGAATGAAAAACAAACAAGGAAACAAAATAGCAACTAAACAGATGTCCAGCGGAGTTGCAAAAACAACAAATGAGAATTCTAGAAGTGAACAACATAATTATGAAAATTAGAAGCTAAATGAAGGGATTAAAAGAGGTATTAGATACTGAAGAGGAATCTCTTCAGTGCAGATCTGAATAAATGTACAGAGTGAGGCCCTGGAGGACAAATAAATAGAAACTGGGAAGGAGAGGCTAAAAGATCTGGACTGAGGAGTATGACACGGTATTTCTTCACAATTTCAGGAAAAGTCCATAGAGAAAACAGGAGAGGAAATGCTGAAGACAGAACGCTGAGGAATATCCAGAAGTGACCAAAATACGATTCTGCAGACGCAGCAATCACACGGCATATAGCAAATATGGTGAGTGAAATAAATGTGTGTCTGTTGCGCTACAGTGACGAGGTAGAAGACAGAAGACAAAGGGTTCTTAGACCAGGGAGTGAGAAAAAGCGAGTGATCTTTAAAGGGATGACAACTGACTTACAGGAGATCCTTGAGGGAAACAGTCACATGGTAGAAAACTACCAGCTTGTGTCTCTTATCTAGGAACTGCAATTGGGCTATTTTAGTGAAATAAACTTTGTTTTGTATTTCTTTTACAATAAATATAGGTACTATTTCTACAGAAACAAAGAAACATCCAAGGTACTTTTTGGAAGAACTCTTTCAAGACCAAAACAGAATAAAGAACACAGGCTGCCTTCATTTCTGATGCTCTCTTGATACTCATGATGCTTAGGGCCAGTTTTGAAACTACAGAAATTTAGATGCACCACTTTTAACTGATTTATGAATGAGTATCTTCAGTAAAAATAAGTGAGGCTTTGACTTAAGAAAATAACTTAGGTTAATCAAATTTCATATCAAGAAGTATTAATATTTTCATCGTGTAAGCTCTCAGCAGCGGTACTTCCGGTTTCATGTAGAGCCGTGGGCGTATCATTTAAGAGGTAGCACCCTCAGCAGCAACGGGGCTGCAGTGTCTCCCAGGACTCACCTCCCCCTCAGTAGACTGCAAATGGAGCTCCTTCCTGCAGGTGGCCCTGAAGTCGCCTGCAGCCGCACTCACCTGGACCCCTCGAGGGGCTCCCATGATCAAGGACCTGGTTGGTGATTCAAGCCTGAGGGAAGAGCAAAACAATCCTTAGTAGTAAAAAGAAAAATAACATAGGATAGACAGAAACATAACATTAGTCAACTAAAAACAAATGGGCAGGCATAAATAAAACTCCTTGCCATTTTCAAGAAAGCCAAAATGAGTTTTAGAATGATTTTTTGACTGCCTTATCTATTTTTTGATTCTTTATGAAACTCCTCATTTATTAACATCAATTATTTACTCTCATTTGTGTAATGATTTAGTAACAATCTCTTATGCTGTTTCCCTTCACATGCACATGAAAAGTAGCTTGTGAGTTTGTTCATTGAAATCTTTTTCTATATTTTCAGTATTAATGATGGAGTGCTGATGAATAAATTTCTACAAACTTAGCATGTAAGTATTCCTCAGTAACGAGTCTTGCAAAGAGGAGAGAGCTTTAATGTATATTGCTCATATTGTAAACGCTCAAGCATACTCAGGCAAAATTTTATAAATGTGAAAATTTTCAAACTGCTTATTACAATTGTAAAAATGCAGTAAAATGAAGAAATAAGACATTTCCTACATTGACGGGATATACTGGCCCAGGAAAATGGCCACATCATGAATGACATTAGCTTGAGAAAGAAAAATTAAACAAGTGGTGATACACAAGGAGAAATGTGATTAAAGATTGACTACATAAATTTTGAGGAGAAAAAAAATTGTTTTAGATAGTTGTGACTACACAAAAGATCGCTAGAAGGCAGTTTCAAATTATGTCCAAATATAAAACTGGAGGAAAGAGCACATGAAGGCAGAAGCTCCGAAAACAGAAAACAGTCATAAAACGCACTTGGGTGAGACTGTGAGGCAAGATATAAGTGGGTGAAGGGAAAGTAAGGTCAGTGAAGCCACTATAAGGGACCCAAAGAGTTAACAAGGTAAAACCAGAGAGACAGAAAGGGCTCAAAGAGTTAATGAGTTAATTAGTCGAAGTTTCAAAGGCCAGGAGAGACTTGGAATGTCCAGATATTCCCCATATACAGAAAAGTATCAGAGCACAGCCCATGTCTTCATTGTACCAATTAGATCAAGCCATTGTAAAATCTATTTAGCCTGCGAAAAAGCACCCAGTTTATTCTTTAACTTAATCTACATGCTGTTCTTCCTCGTCTTCCAATCCCTTAATCAAGTAAGTATATAACCAGGGCAGGAGACAGACCTCCGAAGTGTAAATAACCTATGTAGCCAAAGGATGCTGAAGTGTGGAGCAACACAGTCACCTAGATAATCCTATTCTTAAGACAAAACTTCAAAGGAACAATGAATCACCTGCATACATCATGCCTTATGTTGATCCCTATCCAAAAAGCTGTATAAAACCCCAAACCCTAAATCCTTAGGGGTGCCTCCTCTCTGAGGTTGCCTGCACTCCTCTTTCTTCAAATATGCACCTTTTTGCCTTAAATAAAGACCTCTCACTGCTCAACTTACTATGTTTTATCTTAGCACTCTTCCAGGGGTGTCTTTGTAATTTTGCTATTTCATTCTGTTCTCCAGACTTAAGCACACGTCTTCACTCTGTCTCTGTCCTACTTCAGATAAATAGGGAGGGGCTGCTGAGAGCTCTGATTTGGGCTTATACATTCCTGTCGCCTGGGTGGCCTGCACAGGACTGCAGCTGTACGACAGTGCTGTTTGGTAGCCTGCTTGAAAATCTATTTTTGCTTTGGGAAGTTCCCAGAACATAATCTCACTGCATCCAGTGCTCTGCAGCTCCCCCAAATCCTGGGGTGGTAGGGACGTATTTCCCACGCCACGCAGATTCACGCAGACCCTGGATGCCAGATGACCCTGCCTTCAGGAGTTGGCAAGGAATTTTCCCTGTGCTGAGCAGGCGTTCAATGAGCTTCCCTTTCCTCCCTCTGTTCTTCCTCACCCTCTACTGCATGCAAGGCAGCTGTCATTCCCTGCTACTCTTGCTTTAATGAATTCCTTCCTCACCTTGTACTCTGACTTCCCTGTGTCCCAGAACTGAATTCCTCCCCAACAAGATGAGGTCACGCCCTGAGCTGGGCTTTTTGGATAAGCACTCGGCTCTGGGCTGCAGTGGGCCTGAGTTCCCCTTGACTGCAGGACTTTGGACGGAAGTGCCCCCTGGCTCACATTCACCATCATGCAGAGCAACCCAAAAACAGAGCTGTTTTGCAGGGAGAACCACATCAAACAGTTTGATCTCTGAAGATCAGCTTGCTTTTAATAGTGAACTTGGACTTAAAGACTTGAAAGGGATACAGGAGGAGACCCAGCATTTAGAAGAAGTGATTTCCCAACACTTGCAATTTTTTTTTCACTCATCAAAGCCAACTCTGAAACTCTCATCTCTAAGGGCCACTTGGACATCTTCATAAAATTCCTAGATGGTTCAGGTTTTGAATATACATATTTTAAAAATAAATATCTATATTCTTTTTGTTTCTTTAAAAACAAAAATCACATTTTCAGAGAACATTTGAAAACTTGAAAAAAAACCACTCTAAATTACAAAATCTGAATGTTACAATGCATACTTTGTAATTGATTTCCCTTGATAAACCCCCATACATACACCATCTTGAGTAGCATATTTGTGACCAACGACCATTTCCATTTATTTTCCAAAATACTAGTTTTAATAATATAAGCTTGGATATGACTGAACCATTCACACAGAAGTCAGATAAGAACCTAATTAAAATGATTATTCTAAAACAGATTATGAATCTCACATTCAAGAAAACTCAGTAAAGTTATAAGGAGGAAAAACACATTTTTATCAAATAATTGACATGGCTTGATTTGTTTCCAAATATAAGGGGCTAGGATTATTACTGACATATTTCATAGTGAAATATCCACATTAAATATGTGCTATGTTTATACCCTGTTTGACATTTGGTACTAGAACATCAAAATAAGTTAAGTATTTCTGGGTTTTTGAGCTTCTCCACTCTCATCTGTATTAATTATTTAATCAGAAGTTAGGTATTATGTTCATCTTCATTTTGCACATCTGATAAAGCTATACAGCAGAAGGAGGTCCAGATGGACACTGAGCTCAGCAAAGCGAGACAGCAGCAGTAAGCCTCAGATGCATCTTCTCTAAATTGAAAATTATAAGGTTTCTTAAGGAATTATAAGAAACACAGTAAGAGAATTAAGGGTGATCAGTACGTTGTGGCCCAACAGCATTTTGAGATGTTAATGGCATTTCCTCCCTGTCTCATGGCCTTGCTCTGCTGAGCACCCCCACTCACTAAGAAGTGTCCTGTGCACCAGTGGTGGACCACAGAGCAGAGATGCCGACAAAGATCTTCTGAGTTTTCTAACCTTATAGACATTTTGAGTTGAAAGATAACCCTAGCCTTCTAGTGTGTTGAAATGATTCAGCACATAAACAAAAACATCAGAAGAAAACCAAAATCAGGAAGAGCTTGTTTACTCCCATCTGTTGGAGAATTGTTTTCTTGCCTCACAGGATGAAGATTTGGAGGAAAATCATCAGAAACTCAAGTGGTCCTTAGTGTTCTGCTACCTGAAGCCAGTTCCTAGGTGGTGGGCATTTGTGCTTTAGATGGTAGAGGTTTGGGGAGGGTGACGATGTCTCAGGATAACTGAGGATGACAAACCGAACTAGCCTCAAAGGAGAGAGGAACAGCAAGCTGTGGGGACACTAAGTGGACACGAATGAGAGCCTCCGCAGTGCCAGCTCGGATCTGAGGCTCCCCGGTGCCCAAACATCATGCCCAAATGCTTTGGCACAATTAAGCAATCCCAGGAAAAAAAGAACAGATTTTGCTGGGACTTCACTTCTGATATTCAGTGCAATGGAGGCTGAACATATAGGTAAAGTTTTATAAGAATAATTCCCATTTCTTGTGCAGATAATTTGGTGGTTTAAGACAACATATACCTGCATTACACAGGACTGTAATATATATTACATATCAAATGA